GGACTATTATAAGTAAAGACATAAGCTATAAAATAGATGATTAAGAGAAAATAAAAGTAGTATTTTATTAAACACTAGTTGGTTTTGCCTGGCTAACCCTCTCAGAATTGAGTGGAGGCCTGTACCCGGCAGTGGAACGTATATAGGATGTAATTTTAACTTTTAACTAGGCTGGGCTGATTTTTCACTCCTCAGATAAAAGTTATCCATCAAATAAATTATAACCTGACTGAATATAAAAGTAAAACAATTGAACTATTTTCTTCATACAACTGTAATTTTTAATTTGTTTTGTCACATGAACAGTGGTAGAGCCAAGCGGTAGCTTTTGCTGTCGCACGGATGGGCCAGCTCGAACCGGGGTGGTACCACGACCTCACAGAATACCAGCGTGAAGTAGAGGTTTACCTCTGCGTTGCGTTTGGTGAGTGCAGGTGGCCGGAGGCCCAATTCCCCCCCCCCCCCCCCCCCCATCAACATGGTAGTGGAATTAAATACAAGACTACCCCAGGAGGGTACCAGCAACCCTGGAGAATCCCTCGCTGAGCATCCACGAACAAACTACTTCACTCCTGAGCGTGGGTGCTCAGGCTGCCCCGCGTATTCTGGGGGGGGCAAAATTCCGCTCGTGACTAATGCTGCTCGGGGCAAGCGGAGCAATACAACCAAGGCGACCCCTGTCACGCTATCCGTGAATTTTTGCAACATCAGGGGACTTCATTCCAACCTTAACGCTGTCCATTACCATCTAGAGACGGCGAAGCCGGCCTTGCTCTTTTTAACCGAGACTCAGGTGTCCTCTCCGGCTGATACTTCATATCTCTCCTACCCGGGGTACAAATTGGAACACTCCTTTGTGCCCCGGGCTGGAGTTTGTGTATACGTCAGAGAGGACATCTGTTTTCGACGCCTCGGCAGCCTTGAAGGTACGGACCTGTCCATCCTATGGCTGCGCGTAGACAGCGACGACCATCCCCGCGTCTACGGGTGCCTCTATAGGTCCCATAGCGGTAATGCCGACACAGACCGACTCATCGACCACGTCCAAATGGCTGCAGACTCCGTGCTACAACAGGTCCCATCCGCAGAGATCGTGATACTCGGTGATTTCAACGCCCACCACGCTGAATGGCTTGGTTCTCGTTCAACCGATCATGCGGGTAGATCTGTCTACGACTTTGCTTTGGCATATGGTCTAACACAACTGGTTACTTCGCCTACGCGGATCCCAGATGTGGAAGACCATGTACCTTCCCTGTTGGACCTTCTGCTGACCTCTCATCCGGACGGATATCAGGTCTCCGTCGATGCCCCTCTGGGCTCTTCGGACCATTGTCTGATCCGGAGCACAGTGCCACTCACGCTCCAATCGCAGTTGCGATCTACAGCTTGCCGCCGTGTTTGGCACTATAGGTCAGCTGATTGGGACGGGATGCGGTCTTTTTTTGCATCCTACCCTTGGGGGCGGGTTTGCTTCTCGCCGGAAGATCCCAGCGTTGTTGCCGATTCTGTTGCTGATGTGGTACTTCAGGGTATGGAAATTTTTATTCCATCCTCTGTGGTGCCCATCGGAGGCAGATCCCAGCCATGGTTTGGTCGCTCCTGTAAAATAGCATCACGCTATAAGCAGGAGTGCTACCGGGCCTGGGCTGACGCATCAACGTCTCGGGATTTAAACACCAGCGCACTTAAAAAGAAGTATAATTCCGCCTCCAGGTCCTTCAAAAGCGTCATTGCCAAGGCAAGGTCTGAGCACATCGGCAGAATTGGCGAGAAGCTAGTTCGCCTTCCTTCGGGAACCCGTGCATTCTGGTCTCTCGCCAAGGCTGTCCAAGGGAACTTCTGTCAGCCATCCCTCCCATCTCTGCACAGAGAGGACGACTCACTGGCCCATGCCGCAAAAGAGAAAGCCGATCTGTTGTGCTCTCTTTTTGCGTCCAACTCGACTCTAGATGACGGGGGGAACACACCGCCGACCATCCCGCGATGTGAGTGCTCCATGCCGGATGTGCGATTTACACAGCGCTCGGTTCGCAAAGCACTCTTCTCCCTGGACGTCAGCAAGTCGAGTGGGCCCGATGGAGTCCCTCCCATTGTGCTGAAGACGTGTGCTCCGGAGTTGGCACCGGTTTTAACGCGTCTTTTCCGGTACTCCTACTCCCAAGGCGTAGTCCCGAATTCATGGAAGACAGCTTTGGTCCACCCGATCCCTAAAAAAGGCGACCGCTCAGACCCGTCCAACTACAGGCCTATCGCCATCACCTCCTTGTTCTCCAAAATAATGGAATCCATTATAAACTGCCAGCTCATGAGGTACCTTGAGGATCACCAGCTGATCAGTGACCGTCAGTACGGTTTTCGTCGGGGTCGATCAGCAGGTGATCTTTTAGTTTACTTAACTCATAGATGGGCGGAGGCAGTAGAGTCCAAGGGGGAGGCATTGGCCGTTAGTTTGGACATAGCGAAGGCCTTCGATCGGGTCTGGCACAAGGCGCTTCTTTCGAAGCTTCCTTCCTATGGGCTTCCCGAGAAATTGTGCAAATGGATCACCAGTTTCCTTGCTGATCGGAGCATCAAGGTCGTAGTAGACGGTGCATGCTCTGATTACAAGCCTATCAACGCTGGTGTTCCACAAGGCTGCGTGCTATCACCAACGCTGTTTCTCCTGCATATCAATGATATGCTGCTAACTGGTAGCATTCATTGCTATGCAGACGACAGCACTGGGGATGCCTTATATACCGGCCGTGCCAATATTTCTCGGGAAAACGTCGCCGAGTACCGGGACAAACTTGTGTCTGAAGTCGAGTCTTTGCTTAACAAAGTCTCGGATTGGGGCCGACTAAATCTAGTCCAGTTCAATCCCCAGAAGACACAAGTTTGCGCGTTTACCGCTAAAAAGAACCCCTTTGTCGTATCTCCTCAGTTTCAAGGCACTCCCCTTGCTGCCTCAGCCAGTATCGGAATCCTTGGCGTCGACATATCGAATAGCGTGCAGTTTCGTGGTCACTTGGAAGGGAAGGCCAAATTGGCCTCTAAAAAGCTTGGCGTGCTCAGCAGAGCGAGACAGTATTTCATGCCGGCACATCGCTTGCAACTTTACAAAGCGCAAGTTCGGCCCCACATGGAATACTGTTCTCATCTCTGGGCCGGGGCACCCCAGTGCCAGCTCCTTCCACTTGACCGCATCCAGCGCAGAGCGATTCGAATCGTCGACGACCGAGTTCTTTCCGATCGGCTCGATACACTGGCACTGCGTAGAGATGTTGCATCTCTTTGCGTATTTTATCGCATCTATCACGGGGAGTGCTCTGAGGAATTGTTCGGACTAATTCCAGCCGCTCAATTTCACCATCGCACGTCGCGACAAAACTCGCGTTACCATCCATACCATCTGGATGATTGGCGGTCCACCACTGTGCGATTTAGAAGAAGTTTTCTCCCTCGCACAACTTCTTTGTGGAATCAATTACCACCAGCGAATTTTCCGAACCGATACGACTTAGGAACCTTCAAGAAAAGAGCTTACACCTTTCTAAAAGGCCGGCAACGCATCTGCAATTCCCCTGGTGTTGCGGTTGTTCATGGGCGGCGGTAGTCACTTAACATCAGGTGAGCCGCATGCTCGTTTGCCCCCTATTCTATAAAAAAAAAAAAAAAAAAAAAAAAAAAACATTTTAATTTTTACCAATTCTCCTAAAAGTTTAGGTTTACAGTTTACTTGAATCTACTTTTTCAATGACTTGAGAAAAATTTTTCGTATTGAAGAAATTAAAACAGAAGCGGTTCTTCAAAAATAAACAAATATTCATCATAATTCAAAAACTGTCATATAAATTTTATTTTATTAATATTGTCTTTTATGGGCATTTTCACGGATTGTAATAAACATTTTTCTGCTTGTTACAATCCGATAATACCTTTAAAAGATAGAAGTCAGTCAAACATAAATTAAAAAAAAATAAAAAGTGCGTAAATGTTTGTGAGCACAAGTAATAGTTCTTATCAAATAAACTATATTATTCAACCAGAGACAACAATAGCAAGTATTATTTAAGAAATCTAATATTATTGGCAGTGTAGTTTTAGTACCAATGTTTATAAAGATATTTGTTTTACCATATCAAAATATCTACATGTTTATTATTATTAAAAAATCATAACTAAATAAAAAATAATTCTTAGTACTGAAGAAAAATGTTGATCAGTACGATATATTTTGTACAATATATACACCATGTATCCTTATTTGCTTTAACAAGGTACTAATGAGGAAGTGACTTTAATATTAACTGTTCGTAGCAATGTCAATTACGCCAAGCAAATAAAGAATTCAAACAGCATAATATGTAATGTGAAATACACGTTTATTTCAAATCAAACACACAGTCACGTTCATTCAACAGACGTATATAGTATATACATTTCAGTTCAAATATGGGTACCTAGGCTAATGGTTTAAATACATTTACAATGTATCTTTAATATTAAATATATTCTTACAATGTAATTATTAGAGTTACTATTTGGCTCATCTCACCAAAGTTTTTTTTGGCTTGGCAAAATAACATTGAAAAGACACGTCACTTATTTATATCGTTGGTCACGATTGTTCTTAACCAAAAACAATGGTATCGGGAAGAAGATTACAATAAATATATTTTTGGGAATTTACATAATATTTCTTAATCTAAACAAAATAATGGAATGTTTACAATTTACATGATGGAATAGATTGTGTTATTTAGCAACGCATCCTCGACCTTTTATCTGGCTTCTTCGGCACGCCTTCGACTCGTACTTAGGTCGCGACATCATTTGCACCATACAATCCACTCATTAATATAATAACGTATTTAAACTTACATTGCTTCCACTGAAAAGACCTCGGGGTCAAGGTAACTTAAAATTTTTGGTAACGTTAATAATCAGTCCTGCCATAGGTAATCATTAATTCACGGTCACGCATTTGGCAGTACTGTGGTAAAATAATGTGAGGACTAGGCGAGCAAATGAGCGAAGGCCAATAATAACAATGAAGCTCCAACTGCAGCCGCGCCCGAAGCTCCGGGTGGCGTAGGTGTCACTGGTGTGACATCTGGACTGTATATGTAACTCTTCGTTCCCGTGTGGGACTTCAAAATTCTGTAGTTTACTTCGTCAAGAGACACTTGGTTTTTTATGAAATTATACAGTCGGTTAACAACTACGTATATGTTACCACTATCGTCAAAAGTGAAACGGTCAACCCACTGTATGTAATTCGGGTCTCGGGCGATTGTACGTTGTCCGACACCAAAGTCTAGCGTAGTGTTCCATTCCGCAATAGTTGAGTTGCCAATCAGACCGAAAAATAGTGTACCTGTCGAATCCATCTTCATGCCATCGGTTTGCGATGGCTTAGTTCCCAAATCGACAACGTACGGGCGCAGTGCTCCATCTCCTTTAGAGGACAGTGATTCATTTCGCAAAATCGATGCATTTACAGCGTACAAATGGAAACTTGACAAGGGTGTATAATAAACGGTTCTATCAACATCCCCTTTTTCAGTTAAAAACTGAGGTCCGAGAGCGATGCCGTCAATGTTCACAGGGAGATTGATAGTGGTACCATTGATACGGAAGATTGCCGCCTCGGGCACCGATAACATTGATTTGCTGTCTCGAATCTTCCAAGATTTTTTGTCACTACGACGAAAAACTATGATACCTGGATCGACAGCACTGTTGTCCGTAATATATGCGTAATCGCCATCACGATTGTCCACAACGAGATCATTTAAATAGGACGTTGCTGTGTTCACTGTGTCAGCTGTTAACGGTATTCGCTCCATTTCGTTTTTGCCAGTTTTAAGGTCTATCAAAACTATCGAAGGAGGACACTTTGTATCGGGTTTTTGTGTGAGAGTGCCAATTCGTCCGTTGTCCAAAATCCACATTATCCCATTGCGGTCGATTTCGACATTTTGCACAAATTGCAATGCAGCACAATCACCAATAGTGTTGGCGCTCCAACTGGGAAACGGTTTAAGTTTCGGTGCTGTGTCGACTTGTTGCACCGGTATTGTAGCGAGAGTCGCTGGAACGCCTTCCAGCATCCTCGGCAGTGTCAGGTACAGGTTTTCCCCGTAGAAATTTATTCCAGATATTAGAACGTTCCGGGGTATGTATCGGCTCGTATTTAGGTAAGCCTCGCGGTCTTCCGGAGAGTCCCATTGAAAGTCGATAGCGTTCCATTCATAGATCACTCGGAACTGTTCTCGGCGCGGTGCCGGTGGCCGTGGGGGTTGCGTAGCGTTCTGTGCAACCGCGACGGCGATTAAAGTGAAGAACACCAGCGACTGCATGGTCGATTGGAGCGTTAAGCGGGACGTGCAACGCGAACGGCGCGAACGATGCGACTGACGTGACGCCGGAGCAACTCGAGTCTGATACCAGCGATCCGAGTATGAATTATGAATCCGCGTCATGCTATCGGTCCGATTGTCAACACATGTTTACGCATCAAAACAAACGTAGGTTATCAAAATTATCAATTTTATGCTCGTTATACTTCTTAAAATATTTATCGCTAACGATAATTTGTCTGTAGGGCGATGTCCTATAAAGTTTTAAGATTTAATCTCGTACCGGGTAAGGGTGAATCAAGGTCACAGGGCTCACCCTAACCAGACAGAGGGTCCGGCAGTCTGTTCACTGTCTGTAGGCAGTAGGGGCGTTTAAAATCGATTCAGGTCTTAAACTGTACATTTTGCGTGTGAATTTAAGATAAAATCTGTATTTGATAGGAAGTCACGCAAATCGTTCGTTACATACAATTTCATTACGTGTTGTAGGTACTTATATTTTTGAACACCGTTACCTAACTATATGTTACACATTTTTTAACCAGTGATGGTCACAGTTATGGAATTATGTATGTGTAATATTGTGACCACTGCTTATATAGCATGCAGTTGTAGAATATATTATTTTTGTATGGATGTAGGTAGGTTTTTTATAGGATAGGATGACAAACGAGCTCACAGTCCACCTGATAGTAAGTGGTTGTTGTGACCCATAGACATCTACATTTATCCTCAATAAAGAATCAAAATGCAGATGCGTTGTCACCCGTGAGAACTAAGATTAAATGCCTCTCTTCCAGTAAAAAAGGTACTCACCAGTGTACGGAACACAACAATGTTAAACTGCTATTTTACGCTGGTATTCTGTGAGAGCGTGGTCCTTCCCCGGTGCCGACCAATTCGTGCTACAACCATACTCATAATATAGCTGCAGCATGGTTTTGCCACGTATAAAATTACTTAGAGTTATATTTTTACTGTTAAATTAAATCAATTAATAATTTAATTAAAATATTAACTTTATGATTTTATATATATTAATAGTATAGTTGTAGCACGAATGGGTCGGCTCGACCGGGGAAGGACCACGCTCTCACAGAATACCAGCGTAAAATAGCAGATTAATTCTGCTGTTTCGTATGGTGACTGTAGAGAACCGGAGACCCATTTTACTGGAAAAGAGGCATTCCATCTTAGTCCTCACAGGTGACAACGCATCTGCATTTTGATTCGCAAACGCGGATAGATATAGATGTCTAGGGCCACAGCAACCACTTACCATCAGGTGGACTGTGTGCTCGTTTGGCACCCTTATTCTATAAAAAATGATAGTTAATTAGTGTAATGTCATCATCATCTCGTCATCAGCCTGCAGCAGTCCTGCTGGACGTAGGCCTCTCCCAAGGCGTTCCACTTACTCCATCTTCGTCTTCACGCATCCAGTTAGTGTAATGTCATATCGCATTATTTATTTATGAAAACAAACCTCGTTAACGTCGCACTGTTGTTGAATTAGGATCTAGTTTTATCATGCGAATGTATTTATTTGTTTAAAGATATTGTGATATGATGGTTTATATAACATACATATTATGTATTAATATGATAGGTATATGGAATGACTAATTCACATTGTAACTTCTTAAGAAAGAATTATTCTTATTAAAAATAAAGTTGTACTTACCTAATAAGTTAATAAGGTGAATCGAGCGTGCCCTTGCAGCAGGCAGCTCAGCAGCAGCACGGAATACTTATGACAATAGTACATCTGAATACTTGATCCCTCAAATAATTAATAAATTAGATCCAGATTTAGAAACTCCGGTAAACAATAAGATATAAAAAACAATCAAAAGTCTTTACTTGTTAGCTAAAGAGCTTGTTAATAAATATAAAAAAAAAGTTTATATATTAATTGAACCTAGGGTGTTTGCCCCTATACTAGCCTTTTAGAGCCAATTTCAACTAAAAATCGTGCTATTTTAATTAGAGCATAATATTTGTACACACTTATTTTAATCGATAGGTTACGAGTATTTATCCAAAAATGTTATATTTGTCGTTTTGTGTACCTTACAAACAATAACTCTTTTATTTTAATGTTTTATTATGTACCTTACTGTAGACAAGTGTAGGTTTAGGCAGTTCGATTTTTCTTTTAACACAAACTTAAAAAATAATTAAAGCAAATTACGATGAAAAATTGGTAGCACATCGATTTCTTATAAATTAACCATCCAAGTTTATGAATCATCATCATCATTACAGCCTATCACAAGTGCACTCCTGAATATACTGAGGAATGGAAGGGTTAGAGAGGGGAGGGGGGATTTTATTCATTGTCACTAATTGGTGACTCAATATAACTATAAGCAATAATTTTCAGTCAGAATCGGTTCCTTATCCTTCGAGATATCATAGGATAAGCAAGTCAATCGAGAAGTAATCACTAACAATGGAGAAAATTGAGTATCGTGCTGTGATTATGTGGCGTTTTTCCTAAAACGAAGTTTTTCGTTATGAAAGAGATATCATCAGTTTACGGGGACACTTGCCCTGAGAAAACGATGATTTAAAAGTGGCATAGCCTTTTCAACTAAGGTAGAGGCTCAATTGAAGATGATCAGCGCTCAGCCCGATCGATTGAGACAACTTCCTCAGATGTTGTTTTTTTTTTATAGGATAAGGGTGACAAACGAGCACACAGTCCACCTGATGTTAAGTAGTTGCTGCGGTCCATAGACATCTACATCTATACTCTATTCCAAATCAAAATGTAGATGCGTTGTCACCCGCGAGGAATAAGATGGAATGCCTCATTTCTAGTAAAAAGGGCCTCCGGCCACCTGCACTCACCAAGCGAAACGCAGAGGTAAACCTCTACTTCACGCTGGTTTTCTGTAAGGTCGTGGTACCACCCCGGTTCGAGCCGGCCCATCCGTGCGACAGCAAAAGCTGCCGCGTGGCTCTACCACTGTTGTCAAGAAAGTTGAAAAACGCGCTCTTGAAGATACTCGTCTGAAGAAAAACAGATCGCAGAAATGACTGGAGTATCATCTACGACCGTTAGAAACATTCTCCACGACCATCTTGGCATGTCCGATTTCAGTGTAAGATTATCAAGCGAAGAATGCTCAAAACCGCCTGAGAAGTTCAAGGTATCACAAGCGGCTAAAAAGACTATGGCTTCAGTTTTTTGGGATTCAGTGGGAATTTTTGTGATATAAAGGTAAAGGTGTCAATATCACGGGGTAGTACTACGAGTACGCTACGCTACTCGAAAAATTAAAAGATGCGAGTAAAGAAAAAGGATGGGGAGAGTGGTCTCGAGGTGTACTCCTTTTGCACGACAACGCACCCGTTCACAAAAGTCATGTTGCGATTCCTTCCTTACACAAGTCCCGCTTCGAAACTTTAAACCACCCACCCTGTAGTCCATATTTGCCCCTCCGGATTATTATATGTTCCCAAATATGAAAAATAGCTACGGGGAGAGAAATTTACAGATGACGAAGAAGTGGAGTCGGCAATTTCTGCCTATTTTAAGGGTCTTGACAAATAATTTTTTTTCGAAGGTATAAGTTATTTGAACGGTCTAGGAAGTGTATTAGGATCAGTGGAGAATATATTGAAAAGGAAAAATAATTTCATGTTTACTTTCACCCCCTTTCCCTTTCATTCCGCGATCTTTTTGATATCCCCTCGTACAATCATATTATTTCAATATCAATTTCAAAAAGGACGATATACAAAAAATGCCGATATGGCTCAAACTACAAAAGTTCCAGCCATCCTGTACCGAATGTCGTCCTTATGTCAGCCTAGCATAAAGTTATGTCCTTTAAGATTTTGACAAGTGGGTACCTATTGTATTTATTAGTTGATTCATAACAACTTTTAATTTTGAATCATGCATGTCAAGAGCATAAAATATATGTAAATTAAGACAGATAACAATAATTATTTTATTTAAATATTTTCCTACGTACTTACGTTTGTTTTGTTTTGGGTATACGAAGTGCGATATTTCTTGTAACACTAAACAATTAATTAAATCAAATTTTGAACTATGTATGTGACCTACAACCGAAATGATATCCTCAGCCACTTTGCTTTTCATGAGTTTTTCGTTTAAGTACTTAGATATTATAATGATAATAAGGTAACAATAAGGTACTTCTTTTTATCAAACCAAACACCCTGACGGCTGACATTATGCACTACATACATATATCATATAACTAATTACAGGTACCCATTAAAAATCATTAAAAGTAAACAAATAAAAAATATATAAATTTATTCGAAAATAACTGAATTATTATTTCTATACTTAGTCATATTCAATCAAATATAGTCTAATTTTATCGGGAGAATAACTTGTTAAAAAAGTTGTGTAGGTGTTTTGATTTCAAATTACCACTGATAGATTTATAACTGCGTGATAATATTTGAAATATACTTTCCTCTAGTTACCAAGACATTTTTAGTTGACAATATTCGTAACTAAGACGACTAGAAACCTTATTTTTAAGTAAAATGGCGAAAAGGCTGGTATTTTGGGCAGGGCTGGCGTTAGGAACATCCACCCTACGTGTTATGTGTATTTTTCATTGTAATATTTTTATTGATAATAAAAATCCATCCACGGCTGGTCGTTGCTGCTGGTGATAACAATGCTGGTTCTTTTCTCGCTCAAAGGCTAAGTATAGCCATTCAGCGGGGAAACGCGACCAGCGTTCTTGGCACGATACCGCGGGGAGTAGGACTATACACTGAACATTTCGGGAATCAAGGAAGTGACACAACATTACTATTTAAAAATGTATTTATTGCTTTTGGAAGTATTCTCCGCGAAATTTGACACATTTTTCCATACGATGGAACCAATCATTGAAGCAACCATTCCATTCGGAAGTTGGGGTCTCCAAAATGGCCGTTTTGTAGGCGTCCACAGCTTCTTCAGGTGATGAAAATCTCTGTCCACGCAATTTATTCTT